TGGCCTTCATGGACATGCATGGGTGGTGATGATGTTCTGAGAGGAAAGGGCTGCTTCTCCAGGGCAAATGTAGCTGGAATGGTCTGCTTTACTTTTATGGAGGAAGAGGTGACTTGGAAAGTGGATAGGGAGCAGAAAATTCCAAGGGGAGTTCTTTGCATATTTTATCCATCTTTTAAACTTTTTGAATCTTATGGCTATTTCATCCTCAAATATCACTTAAAGTTATTTGCAGAAAATCACCTTAAGAGTCAAATATAGGCCACATCTGAGAAGGTCTGAGGTATGTGGAAATGGCTCACCTATAGGCAGGTAGGTGCAGCACAGGAAGCCCCATCCCGAGGGGACAGACAGGACAATGAACTTGGCCTTTGTCCTCCTTGCAGACAGACCACATGCTTAGATGCTGTCCACATGGTACATTTAGGACAAAATATTTTTTCTTTCTTTTTTGGGGGGTGGGGGAGGACGAGGGATGGAACCCAAGGCCTTGCACAGAGCAGGCCGGTGCCCTACCACCGAGCTACCCTCCAGACCTTGGGCCAGAATCTTTTGTGTTGAGCAAAATGCTTGAGAGAGATGTTAGAGGTGGAGTCAACTCGGGCATTGTTTTACGTGTTTTGAAGATGAGAAAACAAAAGCACATTTGTTTGCTGGTGGATATGTTCTTATACCAAAACAAACAAACAAACAACAAACAAAGATTGATGATGAGAGAGAGAGGGAGACGGAGAGGGGGAGAGGCTCCAGACAGAGAGAGAGGGCAAGGGGTTACTTTGGGCCTTGGGTGGACGCAGACTTTCCTTGCCCTGCATCTGGAAGAAAGGGGCTGGGTGGAAGCTAGCAGGGAGGAAGAAGACTGGAGAGGTCTGGGCGGGCGGAAACTGCTTACCTGCACAGAACGGGGACCCTCATTAGCATTCACCTCGCCCCACCTGTCCTGGGCAACAGTAGCAGCAGAGTCATGGGTCCACCATGGGGACTGATGCTACCTTAGCTCTTGCTAGAATTTTCCAGGACTCCTTGTTGTGTCACGACCAGACTGGAATCCCTCCTCACCCATTCCTCCTTCCTCCTGCCAGTCCAGAGAATTTGGATTTTCATTCTGTCTGAGATTTTCTAAACACAGCATTCTGTTTCAAGAACTTACAAAGCATAAAGATGTTTTAAAAAGTTTTTGCAGGGCTGGCAATGTAGCTCAGGAGTGGAGCGTTTGTCTAGCATGTGCCAGGTCCTGGCTTCCAGGTCCAACACCCAAAAAAACGTGGAAAATTTGTTCATTTGTTCAACAGATTCCTTTTTGTGTTTGTGTTTTCATTTATTAGAGCATTATGGTTATGCACAACTATTGGGTTCATTTTGACAAAATCATAGTGCATGGAGTTTTATTCACCCCATTTCAGACCCCAGTGCCCTCCCCTTTCTCCCCCTCTCCCCCACCCATCACCCTTCCTCTACTCTATGGGTCTTCCTCTCACTCATTTATCTTTGGTTGGGGCTATAGCTCTACGTAAAGGTAGAAGACTGTGGTATATTTATGCATGCACATAGAGTGGTTTTGGTGAATTCATTCTGTATTCCCTCCCTGTTCCCATCTCTCCTCTTTCCTTCTAGATCTCTTACTCCCTATATCTTGTGATATCCACCCAAATTAAGGGGGGGACCCTTATTTTGCTCTAGCTTCTGCATCTGGCTTATTTCACTTGACATGCTGTTCTCCATTTCCATCCATTTACTGGCAAATGCCATGATTTCATTCTTCTTTATAACTGAGTGACACTCCGTGGTGTATATACGTACACCACATTTTCTTACTCCATTCATCTGCCGACAGGCACCCTGGACTGGTTCCATAGTTTGAATATTGTGACTTGACTACTACAAACATTGATGTGCCTATATTCCTACTGTATGCTGATAAATACCGAGGAGTGGGGTTGCTGGGTCATATAGTAAGCAGTTAGTTCCATTCCAGGTTTTTTGAGGACCCTCCACACTGCTTTCCAGAGTGTTTGTACTAACTTTCAGTCCCACCGGCAATATGTGAGTTTCCCCCACRTCCTCTCCAACATTGGTTATTATTTTTATTCTTGATAATTGCTATTCTGGCTGGAGTGAAGTGAAATCTCAGTGTCGTTTTGCTCTGCATTTCCCTGATCGCCAGGGATGTTGAACATATTTTTATATATTTGTTGCCATTTGTGTTTCTTCTTTTGAGAAATGTCTGTTTAGTTCTTTGGCCAATTTATTGATCAGATTATTTTATTTTTAGTCATTTGATTTTTATTTTATTATTTTATCTTATGTGATTTGGTGGTAAGCCTTTTGAGTTCCTTATGGGTCTGGACACTAGCCCCCTTGGGAGGAGTAGCTGGCCACCATTTCCTCCCATGCTAGGGGCTGTCTCTTACGCTCTCTTGGCTGGCGCCCAGCGACCTCTAGTGGCTGGAGAAGCGGTAACAGGAGACTCTCAGCAGGACCAGTTGCCCTTCTGACAGGAGCGGGGCTGGGGGAGGCCGGCTTCCCGCGCCCCCTAGCGGGGCAAGACCACAGCGCAGCGACGAGGGCCGCAGGGCCAGCTCCACGAAGTCTGGCCTCAGGGAAGGTCTGGTGGCGCTGGCGGATCTGCCCTCAGGATCCGCTCTTTGCACAGAAAACCTGGCAATGAAGTGCGCTTCTGCCGCCAACACGACGATGCGCCAGGAGCAGCGGGGGGCTGCAGGGGTGGCTCTCCGAGGGCCCCGGGGGAGGGACGGCCAGTCTAACCGCATTTGCGTGCTGCCGCGAGGGACGGCGACGGGGAGAAATGCAGGCCCCGAAAACCACTGTGTCCTTTCTTTCCCCAACCAGGGCGTTCAGTCAAATCAGCCCAATCCCGCTTTGGGCAGCCCAGGCTGACCCCCGAGGGCAGCCGCTCGCCTGGGCCACGACTCCCGCGTCCCTCCGCCCACCTGCCGACCGGCAGGAGGGGCTCACAGAGGGTCCCTTTCTGTGACCCACGCGCGCGGGGTGGGGCGGCGGCACGCAGGGCAGCCAGCTGGCGAAATTACAAAGATTAACTCAAAATATGCAACACGGAGCTGGGTCGGGGCCCTCCTCGGTAATTAGCTGACGGTGGGCTGCAGGGGTCACCCCAGGCCCCAACTTAGATGCCCCCGTGCGGACCAGCATTTCCAGTGGTGGCAGCCAACCTGGGCGCGCACCGGAGAGAAAGGAGACTGGGGTCTGCTTTTCCCACAAGTGGAATGGCACCTGATTTGCACTGTGAGCAGGTGGTGGTCCTGTGGCTTCATGGTTTCCCGAACGTTCTCCTGACCAGCACCAAAGGACACAAGGCAAAGGGAAGAACCCTGTGCCCGGATTTGCCCAGCGCCGCCGACTCTGCTCTCCAGCTCTGGGCTCACCACTCCTCAGCACAGCCCAGAGCCGGCTGGCCCTAGGGACTTCCGAGAGCAAACGGAGTCGCCACCCGGCTGTAAACCAGTTCTTCCTGGCTGAGAAATATTGAATAAAGTCACACTTCTCCCCGTGTGGAGAGGAGCTTCTTGTCCCCTCCTCCACGACACGGGCCGACCTGAGGGAAAGCACGCACTTTGCGGGGAACATGGAGGTTTCCGACCTTCCCTCCCGGTTAACTGATCCTGCAGGTCGCTTCACCAGGGAGCTCAGTTCCCTGCCTGGACTCCATGGGTAATCACGCTTGCTATAGTTTAGATGTGAGGTGTCCCTCAAAAGCTCATCTGTGACATCATGCACAAAGGTTTGGAGGTGAAATGATTGGGTGCTGAGAGAATTAACCCCGAACTGAAACCTGATAGGGATTCACTGGGTGGTCCTTGTAGCAGGTGGGGTGTGGCTGGGGGAGGGGGATCACTGGGGTGTGATTTGGGGTTTATATTTTGTGCAATGAGAGGCGCTCTGTCTGCTTCCTGGGGCAAGGTGTGAAGTCCCTAGCCACTTTCCTACACCATACCCCTCTGCCATTGAAGCCAGATTTAAAGTTAGGTAGTCAGTGTAGTTAGGTAAATTGGGTCTACCATCGAGTGAAATCTAAAATGGAGGCCATGCTGGGAATGACTCAGGGAAAACAGGACAACTCATGGAATGTTAATGAAGTCCTGAAGAGGCCCTAGGCCAAAGTCCACCTGGAAGAAGTATTAACCAACAGCCCCAGCAGATTTGAAGACAGCCCATCACAAACGAGTGATAATGAAGTCCTTCCTGCTCAGACTACTTCTTTGGCCCACCTGTGTCCCACCCCTGAGGCCTTCCCACCTACATTCCATCACTGAAAGAACTATAAAAAGGGGCGACAACTGCACTTCCACGGATTTCCACCTTCTGGGTCCCCTTCTTCCTCCGGGAGAAGTCTTTTCTGCTGTCCTTTAATAAACTTCTAATCTCTACTCTGGCCTTGCCTCGTTGTGCTTCTTTGGTGTTATTCTTCAACATCGGGGAGCAAAAACTCGTCACCGGTCAACAGCGGTAACACCATGATGTTCTGCCTCAGCGGAACCCCAAGGAGTGGAGCCATCCTCCTGTGGACTGAGACCTCTGACACCGTGAGCTCCCCAAAAAACGTTTCCTCATCTATATTGTTCTTGTCAGGTCTTTTGGTCACCGCAGCAAAAATCTGACGGAAACAACACCCCATAGTGACAGCCCCTGACCATGGAGTCCCCCAACCCACACTGCACTAGAATTCTGGGTAGAGCTGAGGGGCTGCAGTCCAAACAGCAGCCAGTTCCCTGGCCTACTCCAGGTTTTGGGGAGGAATTGAAGAGTGCAAGTACATTTTTGATGGTTTCATTTTAAAAAGCCAGGCAGACCAGCAAATACCTGGTGTCCCCATTAAAGTCAGAATCACAGGGGGGAGGAGTGGGGGATCTGGCAGGCACCCTGTGGCTGGCAGCAGAGCTCCGCCGTGGGGGCGGGGCCTGGAATGTTGATGGTCCCATAGCAACCCCAGGGCCTCAGAGGCCACACCGGGGAGGGAGGCCATGGCTAAGGATTCGGAGCCAGAATGTAAGTGGACATCAGGCGCTTGTGTTTGGCTTCTGACGTTGGTCTGAGGTGTACCTAGGAACCCAGTTTCTCTGAGTCTGTTTTGAAACGTGAAGTCTCTCTTGTGGCTGCAAATCAGCTCCAGGAACACTGGTGTCGGGATGTGTTGTCTTCTCAGATCCCAGAATGACAGGCCGAAAGAGTGTGTGTGTGTGTGTGTGTGTGTGTGTGTGTGTGA